TAGTATTTGAAATAATTCTTGCACAAGCCCCGGAAATAGCACTTCTGTGCTACTTTTGTTTTGATTTTCACTACCCATCTCCGGCTCTGTGGAGCAGGACGTGATGGTGAACCGCATGGTGACGGTATTGGTAGGCACGAAAGCTCGGTATCTGTCACAAAGATGCTCATATTTGGAATTCAGAAATTGTTCATCTTGAGAGTGAGCAGGGGCAGGCTCCAAGGAGAATATCACGAACTCAGACCCGTTGCTTGAGAGGCTTGGAAGATGGTGGTTTTTCTTGAGTAGTATTTTGAAATCAGATCACTCCTAGAAATGGGACTTAGGCAGTGCCATGTAGTTTCCATGAAACTGTCAGTGGAGATACAGAGCTTCTAGGGAAGTAAGCATTTTGGAGCAAATTCTTCAGGATAATTCAACTTGAATGTAGTCTTTGTCAAAAAAACACAAAGGTTGGGGAAGCTTCAGACAAGTTGGAAACTGATCATTCATTGACATCAGCGCTGGTCAGGTGAACGTGAGTTGGTTTCCATTGCTTTTATGCCTGGCAGAAACTTAGACTCATGGAATTGTTTGAGTTGGAAGGGAACCTTTAAGGCCATCTGGTCCAACTCTGCAGTGAACAGGGGCACCTACAGCTCCATCAGGTGCTCAGAGCCCTGTCTTTGAGCCGGACTTTGAAAGCTGTGCCTTTCCCTTGCAAGTTAGACTTGAGTTTGAAGAAATGCAATTGAAAAATGTGTGGTTGGATGAGTTTGATCAGGCAAGTAAAGTTAGGATTGTACAAGAATTTTACATCCAGGTAGATACCTTAGATGTTGTTGTGGAAGTCTTCACTGTAAAAAAACAACATCTGAGGGTTTTTCATGAAGCATCTCTTTCAGGAGGGACTGCACAGGAGTAGTGGTGCTGGATTATGCTTGTCCAATGGGGTGCAAAGCCTGTGGGGCTGTGTCACATCAACCAGCCTGACCTCTGGCTGCTGCTTCTTGCTTGGTCCTCTTCTCCAAGGCTGGCCATGGCTGTTCTTCTGCTTGTTAACAGTTGGAGCAATGCTTGCAGGCTGCCTGAAGGGATCAGCGCGAGCTGGTGAGAGTGGGAGTGCGAATCCAAGGCAGTTGCATGTTACATTTTGTCAACAGCTTTAAAGAAGCATCTGAATCACCTTATTGGGCGGGATGGGACTCCCCAAAGAGGAATGCTGGTGAGTTAGGGAGCCCCAGCCCTGTGGGTTCAGCCCATGGGATCAGGAAAAGCCCAAGTGGCTGCTGCCAGGCGGGTGGGAAGCTGCAGCCCACGGCGTCTGTTGTGTCTGAGAGCTCTGTAAAGTCTCTCGCATCCTTCCTCAAGTTTAGTTTTCCAATGGAGGCTGTTGCAGTAATGAGAATGTCTCCCATCTGCTCCTCACATGGCTTGGCACATTCAGCTAGAATATATATATTTTTATTATGGGGTTAGCCAGTGGTAACCATGACAATTAGACTTATCACGCAGCATTTTTTTCCCCTCCTCGAGTCAGTTTGAAATGCTGACAATTAAATAGATACAGTACGCTTTGGAGATCCATCAGTCTCTTTGTTGTCTTGACAACCGGAGTATATTTAGAAATGTAACAAGTACACGGAGTCCAATTGCACTTTTGCTAAAACATAGTTTTGTAGCTTGAGAATTTAATCTGTTGTTTGTAGATCCAGGTGCTTACTTGAGCAGTGCCTGACTTTCTCTTTGGTCTGTCTGAGAAGCTGCTGCATAGCAGTGGGGAAAGGTGGAAATAAGGCGTTGTCAAACAGGGAGCTGCTGTGCTGGGTCCTCAACAGACAGGGAAAGATGTGCCCACTGCTGCTGTGGGAGCAGCTCTGCTGGGCTCCCTGTGTGCCATGCTGCATGAGTTGCTCTCAGGGTTCTGGAGCCAGCAGTACAGAAGGACTGTGCTGTGCTGTGTGTTGTTGGTAGACTTCTCTGGTTTGCTTATGGCACCGGAGCCTTGGTTGTGGCTGGGAGCTGCTCTGTGCCATAGAAGCAGTAGCAGAGACCGAGACGGCTTCTCCATATCCCTTGTTCTGTCTTTGATTTGCTGTTTGATTTTAACAAAATACTACTCCTACTGTATTTTATACTTTTTATTTTTGTCCTTCCCATAGTTGTAGTTTAACCTGACAATTTTTCATTAGATTGTTGGGCAAGACTCCTAAAATTGTAGAGTCGTTAATGTTGGGAAGATCACTAAGATCATCTAGTCCAACCATCTCCCCATGTGAGTGACCGCTCTAGACTATGTCACTCATTGTGACATCTGCCCTTTTCTTGAACACCTCCAGGGATGGTGACTCCACCACCTCCCTGGGCAGCATGTTTCAATGCCTCTTCCACCTATCCCTGTCTGAAGCTTGGCTTGTATCTTATGCTTGGCAGTGGAACATGGGCAGGGCAACTGAAAGCCAAACAAACCAACAGGATTCTCCTTCTTCGGCAGAGCTATAGCAACACAACACTCTGACCAGGAGCTCAGTCACAAGGGTGGCCTTGTGCCCAAGGGTAAAAAATCCACTTTGGTGAGTGGGTTTAAACGAAAAGATCTTATGCCCAAGGTAGGGACATAGTGATGGTTGGTAGCATCCACGCTTGGAGAGAGCTGTAAGACATGTTGGCAGCATCCATCTGCTGCTGGGAGGCTGTACTGCAGGTGTTCAGGAGGGCTTAAGGGAGCGGAGCCCAACCTAAGGCCAGCTGCTGCTGCCAGTGAAACTGCCCTTCCCTGGGGTGCACCAGGCGTGACATAATGTGGTAAGGCTCAAAAGGAGGAGAGGGTTGGGTTTCCCTGCTATGATTTTCTTCTTCTCATCCCTGTATTTCATCTTAACTTAGTATCTATCAAATAACTTGGATGATTTTTTTTTTCAGTGGGTGCATACAGCTCATTTTCATTTTCTTTTTTTTTTAATAATATTTTCTTTGCTTCTTTCATTTTACCAATTTCCCAATGAAAAACAAAACAAACTTATATCTCAGGCTCTGTTTGTAAACTGTTAACATGCTGTTTTCAAGTGTTTAATACCTGCCAGGGCTTAACCCTTCAAATACAACCACCAAAACCCAAAGATGCTAATGCGTCTTCAAGCATGCTTTAACTAAGTTATCCAAATCAATGACAAAGATAATGGTCTTCTAGTAGACAATATTTAGCTGGAGGTTGGATGAACGCTAATGTTTATTGGCCTATAGGTCTGCAACCAGAGAAAATCTGAATGACTCCATCGATTTCAGTGGAGTTCTCTCAACTGAGGTTTCTGCAGCACTGTAGATGCAGGTTGCAATCTCTGTGAAGTTAAGTGTGGTTTTAATTTAATTTCTGAAAGCCCGAATGTCAGCAAAGAAGCAAAGAGCCGGGCCGCATATACACCCACATCTGTAACTTTGGGTTAGCCCTTTCCCTTGCTGTCAAGTTTAGATTCCCTTGATTGGGCTAGTAATTAAAATGCAGCTTCTTTTAAGCATCTCCCAAAGGTAGGCAGAGAGTGGAAGTGCAGCCTCTGCAGGTTATGTGTGTGTGCTTTGCAGAAAACCCCACGAGTTAAGTTTTTCTCTGCTCTGAATTTGTGTGGCTGGGCAGTTGGCCTGGAGCTTGTGCTTTCGAGCTCCAGAAACACAGAAATGGTCGTGCTGAATTACCAGGCTGAATTATCTCAATGTGTTCATGGCCATGCAGTGCTTGGGAGGCATGGGAGGCATGGGCCACCGCTCATCAGCCCACTGTGTGTGGGGTTAGTGATTCACCATGCATTCATTTCTGGTCACATAAGGGGCATTAGTTTAAAGCAGGCTTGAGGCATAGGTTAGGGTTAGCTATTTGAAGTCTTCAGCCTGAAAGCAACATCAAACAGAGCAGAAAATGTATCATGCACAGAAAAGTCTGTGGGATTTGTTTCCCCCTTTATGAAATAATAATGGTAAATTCCAAACTGTTCACATATGCTGCCTCTGTGGTCAGGACACCTGTCTGTCTCTTTGCTGTTACTTGATATGGGGTTACAGCGCTTGAAAAAATGTTAACATGAATTATTTGTCATGGCAAATATGAAAGGAATAGGCAGTGTCAGAGGAAGCAGCTCCTCAGTGGATTTCCATTGGCTTCAGGAGGGTCTGAAGCAGCCGCTGCTGTTCTTCATCCCTTGCTCCCCTTTCTCCAGCTGCCCAGGAGGGTGAAACTGCTCCCAGCTAGACCTGGCTCTGCTGCAAGGTCAGGGCAGGTTTGGGAGCATGGGGGCAGGCAGGAGCTGCTCTGGTCCCCTGTGGCAATGGGGAGAGGGGCAGAGGTCCACTGGGTCATCGCTGACCGTTGCCAATATTTCCATCTGGGATGGAGATGAAAGGAAATGGCAAACACAAGAGTAGCTATCAAGATACTGGAAGTATGAAAGGCTGCTGGTTAAGCACTGCGAGTGGTTACCTGGAAAACCTGACTTTTCCCTTTTGCTTTGGAGGCACCCAGAGGAAACCAGGATTTGGCCACAACTGATGTGTGTTTAGTGCATTGCACCTCCCCTTTAGCTCTTGTAGGGGTGCCCACACAGCACAGGCAGCACGGTGGGTGAGTCACATTGACTGTAGCAGGAAGAAGAGGCCCTTGAAGCACAGCAGGCAGAAGCACATCTGGCCAGGCTTTGAAAGAGATGGTGTTACCTGGAGCCCTTACCTCAGTGCCTCTCACCAGCTCTGTCTTGATTTAAAACAAATAAACCTCAGTTACTCTGTTACTCTGGTGTTCGCTCAGATTTGATTTGTTTTAATGTGTGAAAAGCCCTTATATGGATCAAACCAGGAACAGACTGACACAGAGTTGTATCGGAGGAAAAATAGTTGTGATGTGCAGTCCCGCACTGCAGGGGAGGGTGGCTGGCTTACGGGCCCTTCTAGGGTTGTTTTCTTTGTGAGGTGTCACTGCCAGCTTGCTTTACTTTCTGCAAAAAGTTTAATTCTGACCTTTCTGTTTCCATCTGCAGAGGTCCCTTAGAAGAAGCTGTCCGTACGTCTGTCTCGGTGCCTGACGGGGCTGCTGTGCTTCCAGGTGAGGAGTGGGTCGCATCTCGGGGCCTTTGCAAGCTGCTGAGTTTGGGCAGGGCGTGAAGACCCTGGGGCTGCATTTGCCAGGTGTGATCTGGTCATTCAGCAAATGACAGGCAACTCTCCAGAGCCTGTGGTGGTGGGGGCTGTGGTACCAAGAGACTCGAGGTGGTTGTACTGTTTCTAGGTCCAGGTCTGGACCTGTGATGTGATGATTAAATCATAGTGAGGGCAAACCTTTGGGTCGCATCAGTAGTGCTTCTTCTTTACCCTGCTGTGTCATTAAATGGTAGTGTCCTTTCATTCTGCCCTTTCAATAAGCAATCCACATCCTTCCTTCTTCTTTTCACCCTCTTCTTGCTTTTTTTTTTGTTGTTGTTACTTTTTTTCTCTCTTGTAAATTATGGCCAGCTAGAGATGAGATCTCAGCGTCCTGTTTACTGTGAACAGTTGGGGGCATTAATAAATGTTGAAGGAAGAAGACAGACAAAGGATTAATAAGCAGAGGACAGGAGATTAATAGCAAGAGAACAGAATTTGGTTCAAGGCCTGGTCTTCCCAATTGCTGGGTTATTGAAGATTAATGGCAGCACTTCTGCTTTTCTCACTCTCTCTGCGGCAGCTTTCCCCACTGAGTTTAATAGACTGTCCCAATGTGTTGCTGTAAATAAGAAATCTAGGGAGAGACCCACCCTTATAAACTGTTGACTAAATGAGATGGCATTAGGTTTGCTCTCTACTGAAAGCTTAAGGAACGGCATTAATATATTTGTGAATTGTGAAGTCAGACATTCAGGTGCTCACAACTCCTCTCGGAATAAAAACATATCATAAAATGTATCTTGCCAAGCAGGCTGTCTCTGACAAATTGTGTTGTTTTTTTTTTTACTGTGTACCCTGTTGAAGAGATTGATTTCTCTTCTCTTGACTGTTTTTTCAGCTTTGTTCCAGTGGAAAATTGGGCTCTTGGCCCATTACATCCAGCCTCTCATTAGGCTTTGTGAGAGATTAGATCACTGTAGGAAACCCTAACTTTGGGAAGAACGTTTCTGGTTAAATTTGCTTGAGCAAATTGAGAGCATCGGATTGCATCGCTGAATGTCTTTATGCTGGTAGAAAGGTGTCCTGTAAAAAAAGGTCAGCCTCAAACTCCACCCTATAAAAGGCTTATGCTGCAGGGTCGAGCACTGCAGTAGTCCTTGGGCATCTGCCCTCAGGTATCTTCACAGTCTTCAAAGATGTTCCTAAGCTCTTCTCTCCTTGCCTGGGGTTGTATCAATATGTAGGTATGTCTGTGGCCATTTCGGTAAGGAAGCAGTGATGTTCAGGTAGCAACGGAGGAAAACAAGGCTAAAATCAGAACTTCATGCAGCAACAACTGAATTTCTTTTCCAAGGAAGAAAGGCTGTGCAGTGTTTCAGTGTCTCTGTAATGAAGCTCTTCCCATCTCCTCTGCTGTTACATTCGGTGCCCTCGGTGTTTCAGAAGTTAATTGATTTGTCCGCGTTACGATTCTCTCTTTAATTTTATGTATGTAAAGAAGAACATACGCTAATCTATCTCCAGAGAAATGCTTCTCTCTTTGAACGCTGGCCTCGGGTCCACCGCGTTTCCTAATGAGTCTGAGCACAGAGGCCAGGTTCCCACACGCTCCAGCCCTGACACACACACATACTTGTACACCCACACTCCTGCTCCGGGCTGAACCCAGCCTCCTGCCCGCTCGCTGCCTTGGGATTTATATTGGCAGCATGGAAGCACGTGGCAGGGGGGGGCTCAGCGATAGATTTGGCATCGAATTAGGATGAGAAAAGCTGTAACCTCCTTACGGCAGCATTCCCCAGGCTGGGTTAACGTGCTGCTCCAGGAGCCTGGATTCCTGTGGGCTGTTACCTAATGTGCCGGGCTCCCTCCACGAGGACCTGAGCTAGCAGACAAACACCCAACACTGAATTACTGTCTGGAATGCCACCGGCTGCCAGATCTTTGATAGCTTGTTTTTAATGAAGATTCCTCCTGTAATTCCTAGAATATCTTGCAGTGCAAAAAAATGAGCTGTGTGTTTTGCTGTGGGCTGAATTTTTCCTGCTCTTCACAGTTCCCTCCATGAACAGAGAAGAAAGGGAGGGGGAAGCAGCTGACTGCACTTTTGTTGTTGTTTTTCTATTTGACTTCTGCAAAATATGCGACGATCAATCGCTCGCAACTAACAAAATGTTTTTGTTTCTCTTTGCAAAAGCATATGGGAACTACAGGAAAAGCATATGGGTGTTTTTAGGAAAACATATTGGTGAATGGACAAATTATAGCAGTGCCAATATGCTTTGGATGTCTGGCTAGACCACTACTACTACCACACTTGCTGGCATGCATACCCATCCACAAGATTTCCAGCATATGAGTGATATGTGGCTGCTCCTGGGGAAAGGCAGGCTAACCTCCATGTTAAAGCAGCATCGTGATCCATCTTCAGTGCGCATGACTTCTTGCCATGGCCCAGTCCGGGCTCTCTGCTGTTTATGACAGCATATCCATTCTTTCACAGTAGACTGAGCCCAGAGCTCCACTTGCAGCCAGCTGTAAGTAATGGTAACGGTAACCATTTTTCTTTCTAAAGCCCTTGACTGCAGTCCTAATAACACCTGAGCAGCTTGCAAACGGGCTAGGCAGCTTCAGGTTTTCTCCTGCTGCTCTGGCAGGCCATTTGTCATTAGCGGGGCTTGCTTTTCATTTCTCCATCACCTGTCTTACTTTTGATGAAATGCAAAGCGTTTGCATTGCTTATGCACCCAGCGTGCTGTTGCTGGTCGTGCTGGACAGTCAGGGAAGGGACGCATGAGCTGTGTCCCCTTACCTCATTTTTGCCCATATTCTCACCTGGCACGAGAGATGTGGACGAAGGAAGGGGCAAAACCTGTAGAGACTGATGGGATGAGTAAGATGCGCATTTGGGCAGTCATTTGAACGTAGCTTTGTTTTGCTTGTCATCCTGCGCTCGCAGATAGTCTGAGTGGCAATGCAGCTCCTTTTAGCGTTCTTTTCCTCATGCCAGCTTCGGGATGATTTGCTATTGAGTAATTTTACATTATTTAATGTAGCCACTTTTCTTATAGCTCTTTTGTTCCGTGAGACAATTCCCTATTTTATTATGCAAACAGTACATTAAGATCCTTGCGGGCCAAGTTCCCAGCAGTGCTTGAGATGGTGGCAGGGACATAGGTTATCTCAAAAGAAATGATCCTCTCCTCTAGAAGCATTCTTGGAGTTCTTCTTTAACTGCATTTGATATTCCACGTGGTTTTTTTCCTTTTTTCTTTTTTTTTTTTTTTTTCCAAAATCCCAGTACTTCCTAAATGTTACAGAGCTCAAAAAATACACTGTATGCCTTGTCACAATATTTAGTACAGAGTGCTATTTACAGTAATGAATCAAAATGTCAGTTTTTAAAATATGAACTGTCAGAGTGTTCCTACTTTGCAGAAAACTTTGATATGACAGTTTGTTAATCATATGACTATTACATCAAATGTGTCTCGGAGTACTTTTGCTCAACAAAGTCTTTTTTTATTCCTTCCCATCCCTTTTCACTGGTAATTCTGATAGGGTTATTTGATTGAATGCACTTTGATTAGAGGTCTGAGAAACCCAGAGCTTTTGTGTATTGGTGGTAAGATGTATCAGTATGTATTCTGATGCTGACTGGTCATCTAGTCCTGCAGGTGATACAGGCAGATTTGGATCCCCTCACCATGTTTCCCAATGGCTGCCCCAAACCTGCTGTGCCCAGGAGGTTGGGATGCTTTGATTGTGATATATGTCTGTAACATGCATGTGGGGTGGAGTAGTGGAGATTACTCAAACAACTGGGTTTCTTGGTGACAATAAGGGGGAGTTTATGTAGATAACTGTGCTTTAGAAATCACCCTTGGGAGGGGATGCTGGTAGGAGAGCTGGAGGCTGTCCAGACACAGCAGAGCCCTGTGCTTCTGCCCCTATATCTTCGCGTCGTGTTGCCTAGGACACCAAGTGCTCTTTCATTGTGTAACTCCCATAGGGGCAGCATTTCTGATCTGGAGTTGGCTCAACATGGCTATGGGCATAGGAGGAATCTAGAAAAGGTGAAAGTCGTGTATCAGCAGTTCAGAAAAGGCTCAAAATCAAACGGGCACTGCTGCCACAGCAACCACTCCTATGAAATGTGGTAACCCACCCCTCAGTTGGGGAATGGGGCCACCAGTTGGCATGAAACCGTATCTCTGTCACCTTCGTTGGCTGAGTTCTGCTTCTTGCTGCTCTCCCTCAGCCCGCTGGAGGAAATCGATTATTATACAGTTTTCATTTTAGGCAAAACACATTCGTAGCATGAGGTTTTTTCTTTTATTATCGCTACAGCAATGGATGGAAGAAGAACTCTAACAGATGTATGATTAGCAGGGCATGAAATTAAAAATGTTTGTGTACAACGGAAAGGTTGTTTACTACCAAATTCCTCATTTGAAAATTAAGCGATATTAAGATTGGCCATGAGATTCTGTATCAGGGACACAGCCCCGTTTGCTCCACGTCTTCCAGCAGCATCAGCAGAAAAGTAACACTTTTAAAAGTTACCTTTATTTTAAACGAGAAAAATAATGCAACTGAAAGGTCAGTTCCTGCCTTTGGAGGCAGATTATCTCAGAGCTTGTTTGCCTGTTCTTCCACCAACGGTGTCAATTCCAGAAAACATTTTGACTGATGCTTTAGCCAAATTGACTAGGGCAAATAGAAAGTTTTCTATCAAAACTCCTTTGTAAGGAAAATAGGGTTTTGATTGAATCATTCCGAGTGTGGGTGGGTACATGTGTGAAGGCATTTGTTGTCAAAGTGCCAAAAAATCTACGTTTGGAGTCCTTGCTGCAGCTTGGTGGGATTGGTGCAGAGCAGTGGTTTCTCCCAGCCCTGTCCCACAGCCTTTTGCCAAATTGCAGCAAACTGCAGTAGTTTGGGACTCTCGATATGCCTGGG